AGCAGCAACTTAGAATTTAATGATTCCAATGAAGTGCATGATGACAAAAATTTTATATACAGATTTTTGCGTTTCTTCTAATTTTTTAAAAAGAGATGTACGTATTTGTAAGGATGACAGTGAAGCCCTTTTAGTTTTTTCCCTAAAAACTTGATCTTAGTGCGCTCATTTATTCCAGATTCAATTTGCATTTGCCTTAAATTTATGTGAACTATAGAAATTTCTTTCCCAAGAGTAAAGATTATTTTATATGTGGAATTGAGGATATATAACATTGAAATATTTTATGATAGTATAACTATCAAAGTTAAATAAATTACATTAATTAAAACTGTAACATATAACATAAAACCTAAAATGTTAGCTATTATACATCTTTAAGAATTTTAATTTGTAAAATAATTTACTCAAGAGCAAAGCAATTAATCACTAGTAAAGTCACTGATTCTCAAGATTAGATTAGAATGGACTTAATATCAAGTTTTTAAGGGGAGGGTAAGGGAGGCAAAATCTTAATATGAAATAATTTACTAAGGTAATTTTTTTTTTTTTTTGGTTAACTAAGGTAACATAGGAGTGCAAAACAAGATTTTTCAAACTTAAGGAAGGGGAGGAGTGGTGTGCCACTTTCCACCCTGTAATGGTTCCGCTAGTGGTTAAGTGGATATTATAATTTTACAAAATGAATTTTTAGAGCACATTTGAATCAATCACTATAATCAGAGGTACTATATATTAATTTGCATTTCCTATTAGATGAATATTTTGATATGTTAAGAAGATTGTGAGGCAATATGTAAAATCACAGGAGGTTATAGCAGTTTACCCAATATTTTTTCAAGTGGAGTGAACATTTTCCCTTTGTTGTGACTGGTGAGGCTAAGAAAATAAGTTTAAAAAGTGAGAAAAAAAAAATCAACATCAATCCCCCTCCTCCGCTTTGATTGAGTATTCATAAATTGTAACAGGCATGCTCTATGATCAGCAGGCTTAGATTAACGCTTTTCATATATTTATTTGGGATAACCGTACAAAAGCGACTGAAAATTACTAAGTGCCTAAGCAGCAGACATAAATGTAAGAATTCCTAAAATAAAAAAAGCTGGCCATTTTCATTTTATTTCTATCCTGTAGAATCGTGTGTGTTATATAAAGTAGCATTTTTTATTTATTTGAGGAAATTTTGGCATTTTACATGAGGATTATCAACTGTTCTTAAAAATTAATCACAAAGTCTAGCTCCGTAAGGAAAGTAATTCCGTTCTGAATCGATATGTAGAAATATCAGGCAGGGTCATTTCAAATTCCTCACCAGATTAAGACGTGGTTGCGCCTTGCAGAATATAATCTTTTGTATATTTCTTATTTAATGCACTTTTTACTCTATTTTCACTATAAATTCCGAGAAACAACACCAAAAATCATATATGAGTATAATCTAATAATTAATATCATGTTTTGGTAAAATAAAAGGCAAAATATTCACAAATTAAGTGCACAATTAATCATCTATCCAAGAAGTCAAAATCAACTTTGAAGTCATAATTTTCAAAATCAGCTTCAATGATCTCATTATTCTAACATAGAACGGCCTTGTTTAGACTGTGATTTTTTGTAGAAAAAATTTTAAGTTTTTTATAAATATATTTTTAATCACTTTTTTAACTCATTTGCATCAAATCATTATGGTATATTTTTTACAAAAATTCTAAAAATAGCAATCCAAAAGTTATTACCACACAACTTCACATGCAGTAATTTCACTATATTTCTTATGTCATTGCTCGGAAAAATGCTAACCTATAGATCCATCACAATCAATAATTGTACGACTACACTGCTAGGAAACTCACAGGCTCTTTCACAGGTCTACTTTCTTATCAGTAACAGTACTACAATTTTCTCCTTAATAATAGACAATCTCCATTGCCAAAAAGCCTTGCATACACAATGATCAATTCAAACTCTCCCCAAAAAAACAAATAAAAAAGAAAAAAGTCATTTTACTTTTGGGAAAGGAAAAAATAAAAAATGTTCCTGCATCATATTCGAGAAATTTCTACTGATTAATAGGTGTAAATGAGGCTCTTAGAGGGAATCAAAGAATGATTGAACAGAAGCACAAGGGGAGTTATTTCATAGTTCACATCTTCATCAAATTTTCAATGGGATCATATGATTGTAACTACAAATAGCCTACTATGAAAAAGATATTGAAGATGGGATTTGAAAACCTCTTTTTTTTTTTTTTTTTCTCTACTACTTGAGCTGACTCATCTTGACAATTGTTGGGCCATAGTAATCTAGTGTCAATTTTTCAATCTTCTCAACCATTTCAAGATCGCAAGAAAATGTCCCGGATTCTATATTACCTGTAAGATTTTTGAGTATGGGTTAATTTAACATGTCCTAGAAGTTATTTTAACATCTGCATCTTTAACTTCATTTCATCTTGTGGGTTCTCATAATTTTATTTTAGTATCTTTATTTTCAACTTAAAATAATCTTGCGAAGTACTGTATAAGCAAAAACAAAAGAAGCGCGCAGAGTGTGTTTGGATTGTAAGTTATTTGACCAAATATATTTGCTTATATCATCATTACAATTTTCAATACACCTTTTTATCTTCCCAATTATCTTTTTATCTCACATACATCACATCACAAAAAATTTTACAGTAAAAATATCTCAAATAACTTACAATCCAAACACACTCTAATCATCAACCTTCACTTTTTCAATCGGTGCATTTAAACTTAACTTGCAAGTTCCAACCGCTACTAATTTACGTTCCCCATTTTCAGAAGTTAGGTCGTGCAATAATTTGAGTCTGCTTCTAGTTCTATAGGTCCACCACGTTAAATAATTGTACTACTATCCAACCAGGAAAGTCACGATCAATTTCGCTCCACTTTCTTATCAATAACGGTACTAACTGAAAAGGAAATTCATAAAACATATGCAGAGGAAAAGAAAATACTTCTACTAGTAGAAAACTACATTGGGCTATATGCCATAATATGGAACAAGATTATGCAAATATTTGTAGCACGGAAGAGTTTCCTCAATTTCTTTGAATTGTTGAGAGGGATTCACATATATTATAATAATACTCGAAGACACTTGTAAAACCCAGTAGGGGGGCACCATCGATTTTTAAGTATGAATTCATGCAGAAAAACAATGGGCAGGGAAATAGAACTACTCAAACTGGTACCGTGGACACAAGCAAGACTGGCTCTTAAACATTTTGCTTTGTGGGACTTTCTCGATATGCCCTGATGTACATCGTCAAAGCAAAATACGATTTAACACAAGATGGATTATCCTCAAGTCCTTGTAAGATAGATTTTGACGAGATAACACAGGGAATCAAGATAGTGGCAGTGGTAACAGAGCTACTGTCAACTATCGGACTTTCAAGATTTACACAGGGAAAATCTGATGTTTTGTCACATATTTAGCCAGTATAACAATTTTTTAAATTTAGGTTAATGAGTCAGTATGTGTAATCATTGGACTACCCAATTATACTAGTTGCTCCGTTGTTGTTGGAGAAGAGGGGTGTTCAAAAAGAATTAGAAATCTTGTACACGCAGAGGAAAGAGATGGATTATTTGCACATGAAAAATTTTCTATACATCTGGTGGAGAAGAGCTAGAACTCTTGAAGTTTGTTGGCCTGAACGTGGAAATCTTTAAGGTACAGAGTTTGAGAATCCCTGTTGTGTCGTTGTTTTTTTTTTTTTTGAAGTTTGTTGCTGGAGTGGCATTTGGAAGGTACAAATGATGGATGATAAGTGCTACTACAAAACATGAACGATAAAAGAACATGAAAAACATTTTAGATTCTGATTACATCAATTACTCTTCAAACCAAAGAATTGGGAACCTCCAATTTCAAATATTTAAGGAAAAACATAAGAGATCTAGTAACTAGTTGGCATGAATTTTGTTTAGATCTTAAATTCTTAATGTTTTGTGGTAATTAATCTTTTACACAAAAATTAATTTATGAGTATGTAAAAGGTAAATATGTTAAATCATAAGCACGACAATGTATAATTTCTTGTCAAAAGTTAAAATATTGAATAATACATATTTCTACATCTTTTCGTATCTCGCCAAGAGAGAAATAAACAAAGTAGTGGAAACGATCATTGAGGCATTAGTTTAAAAAGAAAATCTCTGATATAGATACTAGGTAAAAGTGAAAAAGAACATGAGAAATGAAAAGGAAATTTTTGATAAACAGTCCTATGTTGAACTGAACTGAGGGTTAGAAATTGCTCATAAGCATGCAGCAAACATAACATTATTGCAACAAGCTTCATTGCCCGAAAAAATTAATTTTATGAAATAGAAATTCAAGATACAACTTTTAAATGAGCCTACCATGCTTGAGTCTTGTAGTGAATAAAAGTGTCAAAGGAATTGTAAAATAGAAAGTTGGAGGAAAATAGTAAGAAAATCTAGGTCTTAGGAATTTTTTTTTTTTTTTTGTGGGTCTATGCTTAATATATGTTGCAAAACAAGTGTATCATATGTTAATCACAAAGAAGTTTACATATTAATATTCAGTGTACCGTTCTTTATTTTGGATAAATGCTTGTGTAACTCACATGGAAGAGGATTTAAGAAATTGATAGTAGAGGGTAGGAAGTGCGTGGGGAGAGGTGCGAAGATAAAAAGTAAATAAATAAATAAATTGGGATGATAGATTGTGAACACTAATAAATCTTGAATGAAAAAATTGTCAAAAAAAAAATCGTGAATGAAAAAAAAAAGGAAAAAAATAATGATAGACAATGTAAACTTCGTAAATGCATGATTTTTCTTATGACTTCAATCACAATAATGTTACAGCTGCATCAACTTGAAGCCAAAGAACTCCAGAAATTGTTTCCAGAAACATGAATATAAAATTACATCATTTGGTTCCCACTCTGAATTGACTCTTAAACGAATTCAACAAGAGACATGAATTGGTTCACAATTGCCTCAAGTGATGAGAAGAGTTAATTCAACCACGCTTTGAAGAATCGGAAAGTCCCAATTATCTTCAAGAATGACCCTTAGATCATCATTTCCTGCATCCATCTGTTCTTGTTGAATTTGCTTTACAGAAGTCACAGCAGACTTACAGCACCATGCGAGCTCTATCATTTCAAGATTTGAACATTCCCCTAAACAAAAAGGGACCTCTTCCAGTACATAGCAGTCTTGGACAACTAACTTCTCAAGACGGGAAAAATTGTCAGAAGTGGCAGTCCAACTTCGGAGATCCAATTTTGTCAATTCCAAGAATCGGAGGTTAAGGAACTCCCCTGCTTTCATTTCCCATTTTTCCCCTACAAAGGCTTCATGCCGTAATTTAAGCACTTCAAGACTGGACAGCTCTCCAATCGTTGAAATTTCAGTCCATGGCATACGAGTACATGAGAGAGTCAACTTTTTCAAATAAAGTGGGAATTTAATTTCCAACGGAGCAAGATTTCTCACTTTAAGTGACTCTAGTCGACTCAGACCATCCAGCACGAGAATCCAGTTTCTGGAAGAACTATAATTCTCAATGTAAGACACGCATTTTAGCCTGCGGATGCTTGGTAACTTTGTCAATATCTTCTGCAAGCTTTGAGAAGAGGAATCAATTGCAAGGCTTAAAGTCTCTAAATGTTTTAAATCCGGGGAGCCCGCAAGACTGTCAGCAGGAAAACGAAAACCACACCGGGAACTTTTAATGAATAGATGCCTCAATGTCTGAATGTTCCAGATAGTGTTCGGTAGCACAACATCATCCCAGCTTTGTATCAATAAGAAAGTTTCTAAACTTGAGAGGTTAGCTATGTCAGATGGCACGGACATAACGCTCCGAATCGCCAAGTATCTCAAGTGAACAAGCAATACCACTTCCATCGGAAATTCATGGGTAAAACCAAACCGTCCCAAATCCAACACTCTAAGAAGTTTAAATAACAGAACCCCGATTGGAAAATAAGGCAACACTTTCCACTTAGCAGAGAAGTGCAAAGAACGTAAAGTGGGAAAGAATACCTTTAACTTCTTAAGCTTCTCTGGCTTGGAATTGTAAATACATAGTCGGTGAAGGTTGTGCAGTCCAGTCAGAGTAAAAAGATCATTTTCCCCATGAGAAATCTGTAGAAAACTTTCTTCTTTGGCTTTTCCCACACAAAACTCATGTATCAAATCATGAATTCGGCAAGCTTTGGCACCACCTATAGATCTTTGTCGGGTGACCATAACTAAACTTCTTTGGACCAGATCGGTCAAGTACTCATCGACCACATCCTCTAAAATCTTTCCTTCAGTCTTTTGCAGAAATCCTTCAGAGCTCCAAAGCCAGATCAATTTTCGGACAGGGACGTCTGCATTTTCTGGGAATGCTCCGAAGTAAAGAAGGCATGGCCTCAGATGACCTGGTAAATTACTATAACTCAACTCCAATGCCCTCTTGCATTGTTCAGTCTCAACAATGGTGCTAGAACATAGAGTTTCTGCAACTTCTTTCCAGCAATCTTGCTCAATAGTTGCAAGAATTCCAGCAACAAGGACGATTGTGAGAGTTAGTCCCTTACAGTTTTTTGCAATTTGGAATCCAACTTCAGTTAGTGTTGGAGGACAATCTACTTCGCCAAATAGCTTATTTTGCAGTAATGCCCAGCTCTCTTTGTCAGTAAGTTGGCGAAGATGGTAAGGTTCGCTAGCATGCTTTAATTGCAATGGCAAACTGTGAATTCTACTGGTTAAGAGAATCCTGCTTCCATTTGCATCATTTGGAAATGATCTTTCCAACAAATTCCATGCCTCAATGTCCCATAAGTCATCCAAAACTATGAGATACCTATTTCTCAACAAAACCTTCCTTAGCTCTTCAGCCAATTTATCTTCATCTTTGTTAAGATATTCGCCAGGAATACCACGATGAATACTGGACAAAATCTGAGCTAACAAATTGTGCTTGTTGTATGCTTGAGAAACAGTACACCAAGCATGAATATGAAAGTGGCGAGAAATTGAATTTTGCATATGGTGGTAAACTGTGTTTGCTAATGCTGTCTTACCGAGTCCAGCCATCCCAACAATTGAAATAATATCCAGCTGCTTTGAACCGCCGGTAAGCCTTCAGGTGATTGTCTGCACTGTTTCATGAAGACCCACCGTAGCTTCATTCAATGCCGTGCTACTGAGTTTTGATGTCATATGAGCTGAATTGTTGGTAACTGTCTGAGCGTCAGTGCCATGGCTGAGGCTGTCATAGATTCCCAAGGCCTCAGTCCTCATCAGTTCAATATCTCCAGCAAGGCTATCCAAACATTCAGATTTATCCCCAGATACAATAGAGTTGACGAGTAACTTTGCCTTATAGGCCACCTCCATACCACGATCCCAAAGAGCTTGGAGTTTTTGGTTCTGGTTGCGCTGCCCGACAATATTCTCGAGGAAAGATCTTAAGAACATAAGATCCTGTTGCACTCTGTGGATATGATCCTTTGGTAGATCAATTGAATCAGCTTCAGAATTTGATAAATCTTGAAGACTTTCTTGGAGGAAATCAAAGCAGCCCAACTCATTGGTCCAAGGAAAGCTGAATGATGGTGGTGGATAAATCTGTGCAAATTCTGCCATAATGAACTTGAGCACTTTGACCAAATGAAAAAGCGCAAGATCTGTTTCCTTGGCCAAACCTTCTATCATATCAGTTGCTGAAAGGGATAAAATCACGATTCCTGCATCACAGGCCACAAATCCAATAAGATCCTTCATTTGATCGTGTAGCCCATCGAATATCTCTTGCTGCTGCCCCAGGAGGACACTCAGGAACCTTACTCCCTCGTGGAGTATTAGCATTTGATCCTTCACCAGAACCGAGAAATTTGGAAAATGTTCTAGTAGCTCCATAACATTATACAGGAGACAATCAATAAATTTGGCCAATAGATGCTTATTCTTCTCCAGCACTAAAGTGTGTGACGATCTTGATAACTTTGAAGCTGTCAGGACTTGGATATAAGTTTCTCGCATATCAATCTCCTTGCATATCAGTCGAGAAATTTGAGATTCCATTTCATTGCACACTTGTTCACTGTTTCTGTTAAACCAACATATAGAACCAGGCGTGCAGCTTTGATGGCCACAACTTCAGCGTGGATCAACAGATCGATCAATCCCTTACCCTCAATGCCTTGCACTGTGGCAAAGCAAATGAAACTCTTCAAGAACAATATCTTCGCTTCAAGAGTTATCATTACAAAAGGCAGAGCATTGTCAAATGTGTGAAAAAAGCTGGTAAGCCAGTCCAGATTCTTTGAAATGGAGTCAATCAAATTTGTAACTAGTTGTGGATCTCCCAGTGAGCAGTGGTGCAACAAACTGATGATGCACGATGGTCGGATTTCTGTCTCAAAAAATAACCTGATATTTTCCTCAAATCTGTTGAGCTCAGTTTCGATGTCATTAAGATTTAATGCATCAGACTGAATATATGTAAAAACAGCAGACTCAGGACCGGGCATGAACGTCCTAACCAGATCTTGAATCCTGAACAAAACAATACTGAGTCTCAAACTATCAGTATTACCCTTGTCCTCCAGATCTTGTTCCCAATGCATTTCTTGGTTCCTCCTGCAATTTGTAACATACAGATCAAACGGTATCAATAGGCTTATCCCCCTCTCCAGCTTCCCGAATCGACCATGCACCTTGAGCCCAAACGTTATGGCAAGTCTAGATGATCTAAAGTAGAATCAAGGAAACTAGTGAAGCTGCTACTGGAGGCTATCTTCATTATGGCGTCTTCTTTTTCACTCTGATATCAGATTTCTGTCTAGTGTAACGATTGATGCTGAATGAACTTAGTTCAAGATCTACAGATTTCTCATGAATAATCAAATATTGCCGACAAGACTCCTTTTTTTCTCGCTGTATATTTTACTGGTGGCTGGTGCCTGTTAAATAATTGCGAGATGCTTTCTTCTTCTGCTGTGGCAAACAATTACCAAGAAATAAAGTGTTGTAAAAACTTGATATTTCAAAAGATTTTTTCGTTTGTTTCGGACTAGAGCTTTATCTGATAATACTTCATCAGAAATGGTTGTTTCTATTTTGATGGAGAAGTTTTCAAAGATAAGGTTTTGACTAAAAGGCAAGTTCAAGTGCCAGATAGTAGGAAGTTAAGCTTCGGATGGCCTTTTTTTCAAATGACTTGATCTTTTCCAAACTTATCACCACAGAGGATAGACCTCTGACTACTTCAAAAGATAAAGTCTGGCACGAAGCAAGCCTATTCTCACGGAAAATTAGCTTTCAAAAATCTATCTTCTTCCGTCCCGTGAAGCTTATAAATAGAACCAGTTGCCAGGCTCATTTTGCACTGCACAAAACGAAGTCTACACTTCAAAACTCTCTCTACCTCCTCCTTTGTCTATCGTTCACAACATTCTTACTTTTCTGCTGGGTTAGAAACAAGTTTTTTTGCTGGTTCTACGTCCCTCTCACAAAGTAGAGGAAGACTTGTTTAATCCTGAGAAAATATTTTAATATCCTGAAATAGTTTCTTAGGACAGTACTTTCTAGCACGACTCAAGTATCCACGTGTTGACATTGTCCGGGCCGCTTTTCCTACAGAAAGTCAACACTACATTCACCTCAATTATTGAGCTTGGCGTAACACGTTTTCCCATTACTTGCCTTGGCAGAGCAACAGCAGACTCCAGATATATTATATTTGATATAGATAGAGTTCTTGCTCCAACTCTCCTATGAACTTTTCTTTTATGTTCTTCTTTTTTTTCTTCTCATAATTAGTACTCTGGAACCTGCATCAATTGCACGTTGACATGTTTGAGAGGAAGTTTGTGAAAATAGTGAATCAAGAAGTGAGAAGCAATGAACCTGATGTTGTAATATTACAAGATGATTGGATTTTTTGAGCTCTTTGGTGTAACTTTGACCAAGAGGTGTGTCAACATCTTCTATATTGATTGGACTCATTGGACCATGGGATAAGGAAGCTTCTTCTTTATTACCAGCATCTTTAACGGTGCTCTTTTGTTGTTCTCCTCAACTTTGTGCAAATTCACAATTAATGAAAATTGCTAGCTGCGTTTCTGTTATCTTTGTGATTTGATCAAGAAATTTCACTTCTCAAATTAGCAATCCAATATACATTTTTCTGCACATTTTGGATCTATTTAAATTGTTTGGTTGCCGTGCTTTATAATTCGTGTGACAAAATTGTTATATAAGCAGATAAAGTACTTATTTAATGAGTTAAGAGAATTAAAAATGCAATACGGACGAAGTTGAGAGAAGTTTAGTGCATTTAACCCCTTTGATCTATAGATTTTGCCAATCAAAGTAAAAAAAAAAACACACCAACAAATTAAAAGAGAACACTCCTATGAAATCCATACTTTACTACCAGCAGTTCATGTGAAAGTTTGTATAAATTTAAATTTTTATAGTGAGAAGATCAAATTAGTCTGATTCTAAATCAAAAGTGGACGTCAAGTTTTATAGCTACCACAACAGAAGATGAATAAGATAAATCTAAAGAATTGGCCAATCAAGAGCACAGAAATATGCCAACAATTTCAAGAGAACACTCCTATGAAATAAACTGCCCCACATTCGCATGGCCAAAAAAAAAAAATTTTTTTTTGGGGGGGGGTCATGGCTATTAATAAAAAGAAAATTTAATACATTAATTCCCACTCAGACTTTTAATATATTAGTAGAGATTTGCACAATTTTCTGGCGGGATTGACTTCTGAGACCTTTTTGGTCGGATAATGTTCCTCGTATTTGATTTCTGTAGTAGATTTTTTTTACTTTCATATGCATCTGTTAATTATTTTTGGATAAATTATCTTTTACCTTGCCGTGATTTGACAATGACAATTTACCACATAACTTGTCCTATAGTTTAAAAATCAATCTACAGCACCCTTATGGTTTGGCCTAAAATGTCATCATTAATTTTTTCATATAAACTAACAGTCAATATTAAAAATAAAAAAAACTAGTAATTGACAAATTCACTATTTTTTTTTAATCTTTTCTTTCCCTTTTTTTCCCTTTGGAAAGGGAAAAGATGATTTTTAAAATTTGCACTTCGGCCCATTAAATTGTAACAAATCTTAATTTGCCCCAGATACCAAAAAGAAGAAATGGAAATAGAAAATAAATACTAAATTTTGAACAGATTTTGGCAACAATTGAAAGAGCAAAGAAATATGCCAACAATATAAAGAGAACACTCCTATGAAATAAACTGTCCCACATTCGCATGGCCATAAAAAAAAAAATTTTTTTTTTGGGGTCATGGCTATTAATAAAAAGAAAATTTAATACATTAATTCCCTCTCAGACTTCTAATATATTAGCAGAGATTTGCACAGTTATTCATATTGCATAGTGCACCAGACCTAGTGACAGTGTTTACTTCATCATGGAGGCCCGCTATGTTTTGAACTTCTTTTCTCGGACAAGCAGCGATGGTATCTGGAAAATAAGCATCAGCTAATCTCTGTGCCAGCATCTGCGGAGAAAACGCACGGTTTATCCTGAATGATTCGGCAAAGCGTATGAATGTAGGTGGCTCTGCAACATTGAGAAGATTTTTTCAGAAATTTAAATAATCGTAGATTGTAATAACTAATAAATGTCCAGAGAGAAAGAACCTGTGGACCATTTGAGAAACAGCTGATGATGCATGATGTTGAATTCATAAATGGATGGCTGTTCTTGCCACTACAATCACAAAGCAACATTCACAATGAAGAATTGAGAACCTCCAAAAATTACATTGAGAAATATGAAGAATTATATCATTGAAGCGATTCAACGCAGCCAAATACAAATACGGCTGTGGTAGCATATCTAACCCACTTGAGGAAATTGACTCTCCTTTGATTCACACTGGATCATCAATACACAATCTTTAGAGCCTCATTCCCCATGTCCATCTGTTCTTGCTGGATTTGCTTTATAGCATTTACAGTAGACTCACCACACGAACTCACCTCAATCATTTCAAGAAATGGAGATTCCCCTAAACAAGAAGGGACCTCTTCCAGCTTCACACAGCGATGCAAAACCAATTTCTCAAGAAGGGAAAAGTTATCAGAAGAGGCAGTCCACCTGCGAATGTCCAAGTTTGACAACTCCAAGAATCGCAGGTCAGGGAACTCCCCTTCTTCCACTTCCCATTTTTCCCCCACGAATGTTTGATTGTATAATTTAAGCACTTCAAGATTGGGTAGCTTTCCGATTCTTGAAATACTACTCCATGGCTGAAGATTACTCCAGAGAGTCAACTTTTTCAAACTCGACGGAAATTCAAACTCATATCCGACAAATGCATCCAGGTTAAGTGATTCCAGTCGAGTCAAATAGCTCAGTGTGAGGATCTTGTTGCAATTTGCAGTAGATTCTCCTGATTTGTCACCCACACATTTTAGCCTGCGGATGCTTGGTAACTTCTTCAGTATCTTTTGCAGGTTTTGACTGTGGGGATCAACGGCAAGGCTAAGAGTGTCTAAATTGTTTAAATCTGGGCAGACTTCAAGATTGTCAAAGGGAAAGATAAAACCATAGAAGGAACTTGTGCGAAGATGTTGCAATGTCTTGATATTCCAGATAGTATTCGGTAACACAACATTAGCACAGCTTCCTTTTAGCAGAAAACTTTCTAACTTTGAGAGGTTGGCTATTGCAGATGGGATGTGCTCTATGTGCCCTCGAATCGCCATGTATCTCAAGTGAACAAGCGATACTAGTTCCATTGGAAAATCTTCACCAAGAAATAACTTCCTCAAATCCAACACCCTTAGAAGTCTGGGTAAGAGAAAACCATGTGGACTAAGATCCAGCTTATGATGTATCCCATCATAATCAACAAAAAAGAGCAAAGAACGTAAATTGGGAAGAAACAGCTTTAACTCCTCTAGCGTGCTTGACTTCATAGAGTAAATAAACAGTCGGTATGGGTTGGACAGTCCAGTATAAGTAACAACATCATCCCCATGAAAAATCTGTAAAAAACTTTCTTCTTTGGCTTTTACCACACAAAACTCATGTACCAAATCATGAAGTCGACAAGCCTTGGCACCACCCATGGTCCTTTCTTTGGTAACCATAACTAAACTTCTAGCAGTCAAATCCATCAAATACTCATCTGCCACATCTTTGAAGCTCTTTCCTTCACTCTTTTGCACAAATCCTTCAGAGATCCAAAGCCACAACAACCTTTGGACAGAAATGTCTCTGTCTTCTTGAAATGCACTAAAGTAAAGAAGGCATGGCTTCAAATAATCTGGCAAATGAGAGTAACTCAGCTCAAGTGTCTTCATCCAACGTTCAGTGTCAGGAACATTGCCGGAACTTAGACTTTTTGCAACTTCTTCCCAGATTGCACAATCTCGCTCAGTAGTAGCAAGAATTCCACCAATAAGGATAATTGTGAGAGGTAGACCCCTACAGTTATTTGCTATTCGCAATCCAACTTTACTCAATGTTGGAGGACATACTTCCTTGCCAAATAGCTTATTTTGCAGCAGCTGCCAACTCTCTTCATCAGTAAGTAGGCGAAGATGATGAGGCTTGCTGTCTTGTTTAATTTGCGAAGAAAAGTTCTCAAATCTGCTGGTGAAGAGAATCCTGCTTCCATTGGCATCATCTGGCAATGATCTTTTCAACAAATTCCATGCCTCAATATCCCACAAGTCGTCCAAAACAATAAGATATTTATTTCTCCTTAAAACCTTGCGTAGTTTTTCTTCCAAATCATCATCACTCATCTCAAGACTCTGGTTAGAACTCTTAAAACCAGTGCCATGCAAAATCTGGAGCAATAAACTACGCATGCTATATACTTGGGAAACACAACACCAAGCACGAATATAAAAATGGAACTCAATTGAAGGATCACAGTAAACTTTATTAGCTAATGTTGTTTTGCCAAGGCCAGGCATACCCCAAATGGGAATGATATCCAGCTGCATTGATCCTCTCTTAAGTCTGTTAATAATTATTTTCACCTCGTCATCACGACCCACCAGATCCTCATGGGAGGGTTGGGCAGTAACTTGTGATGGCATGTGAATGAAAGTCTTGGTAGCTCTCAGGGCTTTACCATCATTCCTATTGTTATCATTGATCTCTTTGGCCTCAACCTTCAGAATACTGATATCTCTAGCAATGGCATCCAGACAAGATTCATGTTTATCACCAACCAAAGCAGAATCAATTATTACCTCAGCCTTGTATGCGACCTCGACAACATGACTCCAGAAAGTTTGGATTGCTTGGTTCTGGTTGCGCTGTTCTGCAATTTTCTCTAGGCAAGATCTTAAGGACAGAAAATCTTCTTGGACAGCCAGGATTTTATGGATTGGGAAAGCAATTGAATTGGCCCTAGATCTTGTTAGTTCCTTGAGATTTTCTAGAAGAAACTCAACAAAGCCCAGCTCATTGGTTCTAGGGAAACTAAGTGATGATGATGATGGTAGTGGAAACATTTTGGAAAATGATTCTCTAACAAACTGGAGCTCTTTCAACAAATCAATAAGTGCAAGATCTGTTTCCTTGGCCAAACCATATTTCATTTCATTCACAGAAAGGGAGCAAATTACAATACCTACATCAATGACCACAACTCGAATACGATCCTTCATTTTGTCACGTAGCTCATCGAACTGCGCCGAATTCCCACCAGGAAGCTCATTGCCATTGTATGCGAGAATGACAATCAGAAATCTTAATGCCTTGTGGAGTTTTAGCATTTGATCCTGCACTTGAAATGTAAAAGTGGTATAACATTCTAGTAGCTGCATAAGAACGTCAAGGTGAAGATACACAATGCCTGCGGCTCTATGCCTGTTCTTTTCCAGAGTAAAAGTGACTGAAGATATCGACTCTGATTTTAAAGCTGTCAAGACACGGACAGAAATTTCACGGATTTGGGGACCTAAAAGCTTTACTTTCTGTTGCAGTTGAGAAATGTCGCCGCGTACCTCTTCTTCTTCATGATCAGACTTGTATAATTTACACATGCATTTTGCATTTACAGCAAGAAATGCACAGTGCACCACGAGGTCTATCGACTGAATCTGCTTACCATGCATTTTGGCAAAGTGAAGGAGACCGAACAATAATGTTAGCCTCAAAGAAAGGTCTTTACTTAGGTGACTTAAATTTGGCTTAGTGCTTCCTCTCTTGGTGAGGCAGAAGTTTAGACTGCCCGCAATGGACTTAATTTTTCTCTTTAGATCTGGCAGTGGCATATTCAATGAGTATTGGCCTATCAATATCATGCGCAGTTCCTGGATATCCATGTCAAAAAACCTGTCATCTTTCCGCAATTCTTGGAGCTCTGAAAGTAATTGACTGAATTCCATAGGTTACCCCACTTTGATATTTTCTTGGAAATGATCAAATGACCTCTTTCCAAACCCTTGAATCTCCTGCAAGACAAGCAGGATGCTTTTAGAGAATTTCCCCTCAATCTCTCCCTCTCAATCTCTGATTAGCTTAGTCTGGCTGTTAAGGTATCAAACAAATGAGAAACTGAAAAATAAGTAAAAACCCAAGCATATGGTATCAAACAACTAAGAAACTGACAAATAAATAAAAAACCAATCATGATTTTGTTCTCCACCTCTCCGCCTCCCTAACAGCCGTCTCTTGCTCCACCGCTATACTTAAAACTCAGCAAATTGATCCAAAGACTGCAAAATTTTTTTTTTTTGAGGGTAAAGACTGCAAATTTTTCATGGGATTTCTTTGAAAAGTAGTATACTGTAACGCAAGACCAACATCTAAAAAGAGATAGTCCACTCTTCAAACCTGCAAGCCTCTACTTTCCTGCCTTTGTAAAGACTAAGCTTTATCACTTTCTTGCCCACGATAATGTTGCTTTTATTATTATTAGAAATAAACAAAAGATTTCATGAAGAAGATGCTTTCCACCTCCAACCCAGAGTCCAATCCAGAGTCCGCACCCCACTCAGTGGTGTGGTGCTGCTTTTAGAGAAGCCTTTTGTTGCATCCTTTCAGGCAGAAACAGATGTCGTTTTGGGTCCATTTTGAGGTATTTTTTATTCATAACGTTGGTTGCATGATTGTATCTAAGCCTTATTTCTTTAGTTGCCACTTGCCAGGTGAGGCATCCTATACCTCAATGATTATTAGTAATAATTGGGATGTACATATGACAATTTTAATTTTTATTTTAACTATGCAAATTTGAAATGAGAATATCATCACCATGATTTATTTATTTTTTCCCTGACACTTGTACATAATTTGAAATTAATGAGTTAAGGGTTAATTTTTTTATTAATCTTGTATAAACTGACAGTGTATATGTTGATGTCATTGGATGCATGCATATCACACGTGCAAAAATTGAAGTGAAGGACCATAATCAAGGTAAATGATTTTATTTCTGTATTTCCTTTTCTGCTTCCAACGGAAAGTTTTAAATAGCTAGCTAGCTAAAACATATAACCGAAAAAAGAAGACTACAGCATGCAGAATATGTATGTACTAGATTACAAATTAAGTTACAATGTTAAGATGTCAAAAAAAATTTGTTAGAGGTTATTAGGTACAAATATTGAGTAAATTAGTTTCGGGAATTAAATTGATCACCATAAAGTGAAAATATTCTTGGCTTAAAATTGACACACATTGTAAAGAAGGATGATGATTGATGAATGAGGAACTAAGATATAACGAAAGGAACAAGGTTGGCATTCATTAGCAAGAGATAAAATCAAGCACTTGCATTACAATCAAAATAAAGAATTGGGAATCTCCAGAATTTTCTTGGAGAAGCATAAATGCTTGTGCTCTGCCAGTCTTGAGGATCATGTCAATCTATAGCAGCATGGAAGAGTTTCAGAAGTAAAAATAATAGTTTATAGGTATTATAAACATTGAAAGATAAAAGTGTGGCGACCCCACTTCCCCCTAAGGCGAACCAGAGGGTTGGCGGGCCGTCTGCCTAACTCTCGCCAGGACTCACGCGAGAAATCTAACCCAACTCCTTCCGAAGAATAGTCTAAACTATTACAATATTGATCCTCCAAAGTAAACCAATAACTAAGACCACATTAACTTTAGAGATAACAGCACTTTAAGATAGCCAATTGTCGACTCTTAAATACCTCACGCGTTACAAACCAAGCAACAAAAACATACAATCCAAATACATTAGTACAAGCCAAATAACAAATCCAGGGTTTACACTTTTCCAGCTTCAAGCGGCAATCCAACATAAAAGATACAATGTCAAACTCAAACTACATGCATAAAAGTGAAATTAGGGGCCTGTTTGGAACCTGAGTTTTTTGGGAGTTTGTCTAAAACTTTACTGTAGATCACTGTAGAAGTAGTAGAAAAAACTTACTATATAAGTTTTTTTCAAAACTTTACTGTAGCAATTTTTTAAAAATTTTTTTACAAAATTTTTAACAAAAAGTGTAGCAATTTTTTTACAAAATTTTTTTTATAACTTAAAAAAAAATCCCTCCCTACATTTTTTTTCCTGTATCCAAAAATTGTGCTCTTACTGTATCAAAATTAGGATTACATTTTTTTCAACCTGGAAGCCAAGTTGCTTTTCATTGTTCGCATTCAAGGTATCAATGCTATGCATCGAAGGACTAAGAAGATTTTGCAGCTTCTGCGCGTAAGACAGATATTTAATGGTGTATTCCTAAAGGTTAACAAGGCAACGCTGAATATGCTACACCGAGTTGAGCCTTATGTTGCTTATGGATACCCAACTTGAAGAGTGTTAAGGAATTGATTTACAAGAGAGGCTATGGCAAGGTAAACAAGCAGAAAATTGCATTGATTGACAACTCAATCATTGAACGGGGTTTGGAAAAACTTGGTATTATCTGCATTGAAGACCTTGCCCATGAGATCTTGACCGTTGGACCTCACTTTAAGGAGGCAAACAATTTTCTCTGTCCATTCAAACTTATGGCGCCTCTTAGTGGCTTGAAGAAGAAGAGAAATCACTATGTTGAATGAGGCGATGCTGGCAACTGTGAAGACTATATCAATGAACTTATCAGGAGAATGAACTAGATTGATTGTAGTAATAAATGAATCATTGTATAAATTTTGGAGGTCCTTTCCGATCGATTTTTAAGTTTATCCATAACCCCTTTTCTAGACGTGATTTAGGATCGTATTGAGATAAATTTTTTATTTTCATCTTTTAATTGTCAACTTAAAGCAATTTTGCTGGACCTTAGATTTTGTGAGAATTTATGGTGATTTTGTTCTAAAAAATTTTTTAAAAAAATACACATGGAACTTTTCTTATATTTCACAGTAATATAAATTCTCACACCTGTATGCAAATAATTTGTTATAACAAAATAATTTGGACAAGTTGTGAAAATATTACATTCACTCAAGTGGAAAAGGAATCCGTTAACCCAACCTTGACCAGAAGGCTTAAATTTTTATAGTACCAAATATTCATCCCAAATATTAAAAAAGAGTCATATTATACAACTAAAAATAGTTAGGACTACGTGGAAATCAAGCGTGGCAACCATATACTACTCATTTCGATGAAGCTACATGTGATCAGCCATTGCATTTTGTAATTCCTTCCAATCATGGAGTGCTTCTGGAGTAACGTGGAATTGTGGCATTTGAGCTCCTTCGGTATCTGCGCTATCCATATTCGCTGCATCCGTCAAGTAGACGTCGTATGGCTGCATCTCCCTAATGAAATTGTGCAGTACACAGCATGCCACTACAATGTTCCTCTGTGCCTCAATAGGATAGTTTTTCATTGGACCATCCAAAATTTTGAATCTCATTTTCCATACCCCAAACGTTCTCTCTATTATGTTCCGAACCGAAGAATGGCGGCGATTAAATAATCCTTTCTGTGCAGTCTGTGATCTCCCTCCTAGACCACTCTTGAAAGGCGCCATGAATCCTGGCATGTGTCTGTACGCTGCATCAACCGCGTAATATTTTCCAGCCGGTGGTACGGGAAATGCTGCATCCGGATTGGAAAGAGCATCCAATAAGACGCGGTGACAGGTGCCGAACCTGTGCAATAATAAATACCTACTCGAGAAAAATACAGATTTTGTATATAGCGGTGAGCAGGGTCGAATCCACAGGGACTGGGGATAATTCGTTTCTTCTAGAGTCCAAGGTATGGGGGGTTTTGGAATAAATGCTAACTAAATAAATTAACTGCAGAAAATAATTGATTAAGAGAAATAATTAAGGGAAAACTCTAGCCAAGGGTACACTTCAGAAATGGTTCAGGCACTGATCATTGATTCACAGATAATTCCACATTTATTAATAGACCAGTTATAGTTGTCATGCACGCGATAAACAACCAACCTTTCCTTAATTTCTCGATAGTTAAGGTACGACCGTTAACTATTTCTCTAACCCAAAAACAACCCTAGGTACGACCGTAGGATTTAATTTCTAGATTGCATTAATAATTAGAAATGCCCAATCCTAACTAACAAACACGCTACAAGGGTTTGTTTAAACTAGATCGTATGCTCCCCTGACATAAACCCAATTACGCCAGTTGCTACTAAGATAGAGATAACGAACAATTACGGATTCAATTACCTCTATTTAGCAAAATAGCCTATATGAATAATTAATTATTGCGCACTAATCAATCATACACAAGGCTATAGCAATTAAAATCAAGGAACATATAAATACCAATAAATGAAGAAAATAATTAAAACAGATTCGATCTCACAGTAATTGTCGAACCAAATCGTCAGTTGTCCCCTTGACTAGAAGGAAGGCTTAGCCACGCCGCATAATTAAATCACCACACGAATTAATGGATTGCAAAGACATTGCAGTTTTTTACCAGTAAGCAAGGGATAAATGGTGTTTTTCCCGTTGGGGAATATTGTCAAACACCTGGCGTGTGTCAGAGGCCAGTGAAAAGAAAGAAAAATTAAAGCTATCCTAAAAGCTAAACTAGAGCCGTCTAAAAAGGATCTCCTTTTGCTTCTGTACGTCTTCCCTTAAAAAGCCAAAAGAAAGAAGCCTAAAAGCTATTTCCTGTGGTCCCCACACATGTGGACAAAGCCTCCAAATTACTTCTTGGTCCAAGTCTCTCTACGTTGCTTTCTTTGAAAAGCTCAAATGACTAAATGCCTTGCACTAGCTTGTGGTCCCCACCAATTCAAGGACCAAAAGGTTGAAACCCTTAGAAGTCTGCATTTTTCCATACAAGTCCCTCCTTTTTGGTAATTTTCTGCTTCAATCCCTGAAATTGGGTCCAATACCAAATATAAGTAAATATTAATAATTAAAACAATATTTGGCAAGGATAAAAGGGGAAATTAACAATAAAATTGCTAACAATTAACACCCTATCAATTCCCCCCACACCTAAATCATGCTTGCCCTCAAGCATGAGAACAACAAATCAAATAATCAAATTCAAACAATGGTATTATTCAAATCTTCTATTGCCAAGATACAATTAAAACACATGTTAAGTATTAGTGGCAATTTTCAAGAAATATCTCTCCAACTAGCTTTCAAGATCAAGGATTCTTTCAATTTATGACTAACTAATCTAAGAATATAAAATATTCAACCAGCATCCATAAGCAAATGGTTCAACTATTAAGCAAAATCTCAACATTAAAATTCAGGGATCAGCGGGTTAACAATTCATTCAAACACTTCCATATTTTTCACTATGAGCACATATATTTTTCTAGAATATCCCCACACATGAA